ACAGGAGCCGTGGGTGTTAGGAGTGATGGATACCCACTGCCAGGCAGTGGATCAATCATTCAACAGCTGGGGGATTGGTGGGTCAGCGATTCATTAACCCATTCGCTAGTCAGTCTCTTATTAGGTCATTTAGATCACCAGTCAAGCAACTAGTCAGTTCACAGCATGTCATGGTCTTGGTGCAGCGTCCATCCCAGTGAGCTCAGCCCAGGGAGAAACAGAAAGACAGGAAGGATGGGCTGGACCCAGGCCTGGCGGGCAGCCAGCTCTCCCTCCCAAGTCAATGCTCCCTGACCCACCCACCCAGCCTGGCAGGCAGGTGGGGCGAGGAGGACAGCACCTAGCTTCGCTTTGTTCTTGGCCCCACAGCTGGGCTCTGACCAAAGACTGAATACTCAAGAGCTGCCAAGTCCTGGGCCAGCTTGTCTGCAACCCAGGAGGGGTGCTGAGGGTCTGGAGGAGGAAAGAGTCTGCCTGCTGTGGGTCCTCGCCCCCTAGCAGCTGCCAGGCCCAGGGCAGAGTGGAGTCAGCGCCAACCGTCTGTTTCTGACTAGGCCTGAAATCAGCTCCTCCGAGTTCAATGTGGAAAGGAGACCAGCTCTTATAGAACCATGGTTACCAGAGATGGAACAGACCTCCAAGAAACATCTAGTCCAGAGATTCCCAGATTTAGGCATATCCCTTACCACGAGATTTCAGAACAAATTTGGGGGTCTGCCATTGGGTTGCCAATGTTTTGCTTTCCTAAGTTAGGGCATTATGCACCATCTGCTATCACCATCTTTTCATAAAAGACAGGACATTCTAACAAGAAAAGATTGGGAGGATATAATCTCTGAATAAATGATAGTCCTTAACTTGTATTTAACTACATGACAAAATGACTTCTTTGTCCTTATTTTTCTCATTCAAAGCAAATCCATAAAAATGAACTTGGCCATAGCTCAGGACTGATTTAAACCACAAAGCTAATCCAACTCCGCTTTGCAGGTCAGAAAACTAAGGCTCAAAGATGACAAAGAGATATGCCCTGGACAACCCAGCAGTTTAATACCAGGAGCTAGGACAAGACCCCGGTTCTCTGTCCAGGGTCACACCAACATTCTGACTGGGTCTTCGGTGCAGCGGGCAATTGCTGTCACCCTCCCTGGCCGAGTTCCTAACACGTTTCCCTCTGAGTCTACGCCAAAGCTTTCTCACCTCCCCAGCATCCGCTCCCCAGCAGGTGGCTCATGCTCCCATGTCACCCTGGGTGGTTTACACATGCGCACCCTGAACTTCTCTCCCCAAATCTTCCTGGATCTGCAGCCATCTAATCTTCCCTCCCATTCTCCGCTGAAGTGGGTCCTCCCTCCTGAGCAGGGACAGCTGCGTGCGCCTCCCTAGTCTTCCTCCAACACACACCCCCCAACCTCTTTCCACCATGGGCCCCTCCCCCCCTCTCTTGCATCATCTGTTTTTCTCCACTGACCCCTTCCCTTCAGCATATAAACATGCTCAAGTTTCCGTGGTGTCATTTAAAATTTCTTCCGAAGTCCACAGAAAAAAAAATCAAGATGGCTTTTACATATACGAAAACTCTCAAGTAAACTCTATCAAAGAAATACAAAATAGTATTATGAATTCTCATTTTTTTCCACTTAGCCTGGTAAAGGACAGAAGGCCCACATTAGTAAAGAAATGGGGAAATGGCTTTGCAGCCCATTGTTGGCGGGATCAATGGGCACAAACACACGTTTGGATGGGGAATTTGACAATCTTTCCAAAATAAAAATGCACAAACCTGTGTATCAGAATCGTCATAGCAGCTTTATTCATAACGGCCCTGGACTGGACACTAGCCTGATGGCCATCAACAGAATGATCCAGTACACTGCATGTTCTACAGCAACAAGAATAAATGAATTCCAACTGGATGCAACTACATGACAGACCCAAAAGAGAATGTACTATATAGTTATCTTTGTACAAGTTTCAATACAGGCAAAAGTAATGCATGGTGTTAGAAGAAGTCATAATAAGGGTTATCCTGGGCGAGTGTCATGGAGGGAACTTCAGGATTCTAATATTCTCTCTCTTGATCTGGGTGCTGTGGACACAAGTGTGTTTGCCTTGTGAAAATTCACTGAGTTGTACACTTAAGTTTTTGCGCTTTCCTGTGTCTATGCTATACTTCAAATGTATCAAAAACCAAAAAAATAAAAATAATACAGTAAAGGAAGAAAAGAAATACAGAGCTGTTGACCCAGCAATTCCAGTTCCAGGAAGTAATCCTACAGTTATCCTTGCCTGTGGACAAACGATAAGTGGACACCATGTCCTGGCAAACTGGAAACAACCTAAGCCCCCTGGTGACTTAAGTGGTAGTGGTTAAATAAATTATGATACATCCACATGATACTATGTAACCATTACAAAGCATGAGGTGGCTTTTTGTGTACTGATACGTAATAGCCCCCAAGACATGTTGAGAAGTCAGCAAACAAGATTCAGAAGGTGCACAGAACACTACTATCCTTTGGGTTAAAGTGTGTATGCATAGACTCTCTCTGGAAGGACACACGAGAAAATGGAGGCAGTTTCCCAAGTGGCACCCTGCTCTACTTTATGTGGAGTTATCCATGTCCATGTTCAGTCTACCTGCCAGTCCTTGCTCTGCCGGAAGTTGTATAGCGCCTGGTACTGACAAGAGCCTCAGTAACGTCTCTGAGTGAATGACTTATAGCTGTCTTTAGTTTATAAACACGTCAATATCCTTCTGCTACAGGCAGGACCAGAATCTGGGATTTGGCAGCAACCACAACCTGGTACGCACGCGCGCGCGCGCATGTGTGTGTGTGCGCGCGCACGCACATGTATGCGCGCACAGAAAGGCTTCATGGAAAAATGGTGTCTGGGTAGAGGTGGGGAAGAAGGGAGGAGAGGCCACCTTGAGTGAAGACCTGTCTGTCTGCAACATGGGCTAGTTGTGGGAAGAATAGGGCCTTATGCCTGAAGAGCCCCGAGCCAGCCTGCTGCCGGGTTTCCAGCCACTCCTGCTCTTCAGGGAGCAGAAACAGAACCTGATGCAATGACAGCTCAGGTGCCAGACTCCTGGATAGCTGCTGGCACCTTCTCCTCCACAGGAAAGGGACACGGCCAGTCCAGATGCGACTTGGCCACAGTGGCAGTTGGGATTTGGATCCCGGTCTGACTCCAAAGCCCTGCGCTTAGCATTCTGCTGAGTGGCCCTGCTGTTTGCGACTCAGGGAAGGTTTCCCTGAGGAGTCACATTGCAGTTTCACAGAGTAAAAGTGGAGAAGGGTTAGGGTGTTCCACATAGAAGGGACGCGATGTGCAAAGGGTTCTTTATTTGGAGAACTGGTTGGAAATGATGCAGGAATCTCTGGCTGGGGCCTTTTTATGTGGAGTCATGGATTCCTGTCTAAGCAGTGCGATTTAGTCCCCAGTTACAGAACTGTGTGGATTCCAACTGAGGACTTGAATAATGGGTTTGGGACCATCTCTGCTTCCGGAAGATCACTGTCATTGAGTGAGAGGCAGGTTGTAGGTGGTGACGCTGGAGGTAGGGAGACCTGTTGGGAGGCAGCAGCAGTAATTCAGGTGAAAGAGGATGGTGGCCTGGACAAAGGCAGGAGTGGGTGAGAGAGAGAGAAGTTAATAAGTTTGAGAGCTATTTAGGAAGAAATACGTTTAAGAGGTATTTAGGAAGAAGGGCATGAAGTAATTGGAAGAAGGAAGCAAGTGCAGGAAAGGGAGGGGTCAAAGATGACCCTGGGATTTTGAGGTATCTGGAGGTGAGAAATCCAGATTCAGATAGGCTATGAGTTCAGAGTCAAGGATACTGAATTAGAGGTGCCTGCAGGATAGCTGGGGGTGGGGGTGGCGGGGCAGCCAGTAGGTGCTCACCTTTATTCTCTTATTCAACCAATAGTTACTGTGTGCCTGCAGTGAGTTAAGCTTCCTAATCTTGGGAGAGTTCCCTCTGGCGGGGAGGCAATAACAAAAACTAATGAAACAGAAAAGTTAGATCATGACAGTTGCTGTGGAGGACCTGAGCGAGAGGAAAAGGGAAGTTGGAGATCACCGTACAACCCCTCTGCCCAACCAGAACCGGCCTGGGAGAAACAAGCCGTTGCCAATGCGAACAAGCCCTGGCCCCAGTGTTTCCTTCTCAGCATGAGGGGAACAGAAGTACACGGGGAAAGACGGTGCACTGGGCATCGCTCTCATTCAGGCCTAAGGACTTCCCAGAGCAGGTGACGCTTACACCGGGTCTGGGAACAAAGGGCAGGTTGCACTAGGTATCTTTCAGGTGATTAGATTACCTCTCTTGGCTCCCCCTGCCTTCACTTAACAGGGTGGAAACTGCGGCCCAAACTGCCTGGGAAGGGGTGTCAGACCCAGGCCTAGAAACTCGGCTCTGGGTGCCTGCAAGTAACAACTGATGCAGGTATGTCAGCTGGAGCCAGCGAGCTTTCAAAGCTCTTCCTGGTCAGTGATGCACTCTTAGCAGTGGACAGATTAATAAAAACTAAAATCAAGCAAGCAATACCAGGTTGAAACCTCAAGGTAGGTCCCCTCTACTGGACGAATTCAGTCCATGGGGACCCGCACCTGGGAAGGCTGCAGGCGGCGGCCCCTTTAAGCGCGGTCTCCCTCCCCAGCCAGCCTGGGCGGGCCCAGGGACTTCCCTGGCCGCAGCTGCGCCGCCCGCGCCACCCGCGCCGCCCACGCCGCCGCCGGGACCTTTCCCCTACTTTCCAAGGCCTCAGGCCCCGCCCCTTCGCCCGGACCAAAACACGTGCCGCATCCCGCCCTGCCCGATCACGCCGCGGCCAGGCTTTGATCACGCGGCTCCCTGCAGCGCCCATTGGCCGGCCGTGCACGGGTCGGGCGCGGATTGGCTGGCGGGCATCCGGCCCCGCCCCGGCGAGGCGCGGTGTATTTTGGTTTGCCTCCGTGCTCCGCCCCCGCGGCCGCGCCCTCCGCGTCCGCCCCGCCCCTCCCGCACCGCGAGAGCCGCGCCCGGGCAGAGCTGCGCGGGCCGGTGAAGGCGCGTGCCAGCCGCTAGAGCTGTGGTTCGCGGACGCCGCCTCCGCCACGCACGTGCGGCCGCTGCCCTGCTTGGAGCTCCCGCCCCGTAGCCGCTTTGTTGCCTCTGGGCAGCCGGCACCATGCACACGCCGGGTTCCGCGAGTCCGGGCGAGACGCGCGCGGTGAGTGGCCGCCTATCTGAGGGGCGAGACGGAGCCGCGCCGCCTGTGCGGGGCTGGAGTGCGAAGGAGGGCGGGTGCGCGGGCGCGCGGTGCCTAGCTGCAGCTGCACCGTTAGGGTTCGGGACGGGCTTCAGAGCTGGCAGGGGCGGCGGCCGCGTGGGGGGGTGTGCCCTGCGCGGTCCTACGCACAGCTTTGTCTCGCGCTCCCGCAGCTGCAGGGCAGGCGGTGGTCGCGGGGCTGTTTCCACGCCATGACGTCACCAGGCCCTGTGAGGTGGTGGCCGTTGGGCGGGGCGCGGCTGGCGGGACACGGCATGCGGGTAGTGGAAAGGGCGAGGGGGCGGGGCAAAAGCTGGCGGGAACGCAGCATGTGGTGGGCGGGGCGGGGCAAAGCCTGCGAGGGGCGGGGTCAGGGCTGTGGGAACGCGGCAAAAGCTGGCGGGAAGGCGTGGGCACGCTGGGGATTGGGGGACGTGGGGGTGGGCAGGGCGCCCTTCGCCTCAGCCAGGGGCTCCTGCATTCGGGACCTGAGGGGCTCCGGGAGGTCCCTGGGTAGACTTGGGACCTGGTCGTCGAGACGTGTAGACGGCTGAGGGGCGGGGAGAGAGGCCTGGGAACTCTGCTCCACACTGGTCCCTTCCTGCATGTGGGGCGGAGCAGGCAACAGCCCTCACGTCTGTGACTTCCGCTGTCCCAAGACTAGGCAGAAGCTGGGCCAGAATGACATTTGTGAAGGCAGCCTCATTACGTGTGTGCTTTGGGGGGAACCTGGGCAGGACAGAAGGGCTTGATGCTTGATGCTTGGGCAGACTGAGTGGAAACGTGTATCTTTATAGATTTGAAGAGATCGGTTACTTTCAGTCGCTTCCCTCCCTACCTCCTGCTTAGAAAGAGCAGGTGCGATACCTGGAAGACAGCGGTCTCCTAGGTTGTAGTAGATCTTACAAGTCCTTCCTCCTGCCGCCGCCTAGTGACGTATGTTCCTGAGTCTGAGGAACAAGGGGATAGCAGCATAGGCCTGACCTTCATGAGGCCTGTGGAGCTCAGCCTCCCCACTCCCAAAGCTCCGCTGTGGTAATGCCCACACTTTAGAGGGCTGTGGTGAATGCTCCAGAGAGCTGCCAAAAATGCATCTGTAGGGACGCCCTCCTGGTGGCTCTGCCAACTCAAAAGAGCCATGCTGTCATCTCAACCAACCGGAAAACCTAGACGGAGTTGGTGTCAGTTCCACCTCTCCGTGTGACTAGCCACGTTCTGGCTTACACCTTTGGAATTAAAGTCTTATTAATTGTTTACCAAAGAAAAATAGGAACTTCATATCAACATTTTTAAAGAGTTTTTTTAAGGGTTTTCTGTGGAAACCGCTTACCAGCCAAGTCCAGTCATTTTTCTTCCCTCTTCAGAACGTTGGCTTAAAAGCAAAATTATCATGAATGTTCTATTAACATCTCTTCCTAGAACAGAGCTTGTTTTATGTGGAGTATTGTATGCATGTTCCGTGTGTGGTGCAAACTCCTGGTGTGTGTATCTACGTGCCCATCGGGGTTACCCCTCTGTGTTTCCCCTGGACTGAGAAGCCATTGTGTTGCCTTTAGGTTGACATCATGGACATATGTGAGTCAATCCTGGAGAGGAAGCGGCATGACAGTGAAAGGTCTACGTGCAGCATCTTGGAGCAGAACGATATTGAAGCTGTTGAGGCTCTTGTTTGCATGAGCTCCTGGGGTCAAAGATCCCAGAAAAGTGACCTATTAAAGATAAGACCCCTCACACCTGTCTCTGACTCGGGGGATGTCACTACCGCTGTGCATGTGGACGAAGTTGCAGCTGAGCTACCAAAGGACTTCCATTCTTTATCGACCCTGGTAAGAGGTGGCGGAGAGGAGTGTTTTTTGTGTAATGACTAGCGTACCTTAACTAAACGTGCTGTGGAAATCGTGGGTAGATTCACTGGGATGTTGGCAAGCAAGTTCATAGCCTCCCTTGTGGAGGACCTAAGGGCAAAACTTTTTTTTATCTCTTGGAAATATGTTCTTTCCATTGATGATAGCTTGCAGCCACAGGATTAAAATGTCCTTAGGACAAAACCTACAGATTGATTCAAGAAAGTAAAATGTACCCATTTCCCTGGGGAATTGGATGTTGGGAGCTAGGTTCTACCCGATGACCCAGTCCAGGCTCAGGATATGTGGGTGGCAGCTGGGGAAAGCCTGTGGCTTGGCACCAGACACCCTTTGTTAGCTAGGTCGAAATACTGGCCTCTCTGCCTCCCTATGGCAGCCAACTTCTTACTTGTTTGAGCTGGCTGCAATCAAGCCCTGTTTTGTGTTTTCTTAACTTGCTACAGCTATGAAATTTTTGGGAAAAATTGCTTCTCAGCTTGGAGGAGTGGAGAGCTGTCAGTTGCTATATGAAGTGAAAATCATAATCTAATTGTCCTGGGCTGGAAGCTTGCACTGGAAGGAGAGTGTGGAAAGCCAACTTGGAGAGAGATGAGAAGGGACTTGTAGGTGGTAGAGAGAATTGTACGAGTACTGGCCTGGCTGCTGGGAGCTCTCCTCAGTTACTTGGCATTGGGTTGTTCCACCGGAGGGCTGAAAATAAGTGGGAATTTGGGGAACAGTACAAGGAGAGGCTTGGTTCAGGCAGGACCACTGGTGAGAGCATGGCCTTTGGGGATCCTTCTGATAGGTTTACCTTGCATGTAGTAGGCACTGGCTAAGTGTGTGTGAAATGATTACCTCTGGGATTTAAAAATTTTTTGAAAATCTAGAATTGTGAAAATCTCTCATTTTGAATATAAATCTTTTTTTCGTATCTGTAGTCCTAATGCTTGAATTGCTCATTTCCGTAGCTGTGCAAGCTCAGGAGTGGCACTGACATTCTTACAAGCCAGCAATGGGTGCGTTTGGGAGAGGTCAGAAAAGGGAGAAGACTACGATAGAAGCCAAGTGCCTCATGCAGCCTTGAGATCCGCTGGGGGCTGTTGTGAGCAGGCTTAACTGAGTCTTTTCTAGATGCTGCTTTTTAAAGGCATTGGGGGCACATGATCAAAGTAAGCCCCTTGTAAAATTTAACCAAAACAACATTTTCACACAGTACCTTTTTTTTTTTTTTAAAGTGCATGACTCCTCCTCAGAGCCCTGATCTTGTGGAGCCTTCGACGGGGACACTTGTTCCTTCCCAAATGACTGATTCCAAAGCACGCGTGGTCATGGTCATCCCCCGAGCCTCTGGTGGGGCAGACAAAATGCTGAGCAGGAGGGCAGAGAGAGGCCTGCCTGGTTTGAAGCCAGAGCTGCTAGAGCCAGCCCCTGGCCCCCCATGCAGGGCTATGGTGACCAGTGTCATCCGCCACACCATGGGGAGTCCTGCTCCTGTCTACATTCCTACCATCCAGATGCAAGAACGGCAACTTTCAGACAACAGAGAAGGAGAAACACAGTCTGTGGGACATACTGAAGCTTTGCAGGATGCACACCTCACAGCCAGTTTAATCAACATTAACGCAGTGTCCTGTCAGCCTTGTTTGCATAAGTCTGGTGGCCTGGTCCCCACTGACAAAGGCCAGCAGGCATGTTGGCCAGTTGCAATTCAAACCTGCCCACCAAAGAATTATGAAAATGACGTGCCAAGGAAAGCCACCCCTCTGATTCCTGTCCCCAGTCCACCTGTCCTTTGCCAAATGATCCCTGTGACTGGACAAAGTGGCATGGTATCGGCTTTTCTGAAGCCACCTCCCCAAGTATCTGCTGGGACTGTCAAACCCATCCTACCCTACGCTGCTCCACTGCCCCAGCCTGTGTTTGTGGGACCGCCTGTGCCTCAGGGAACTGTGATGCTGGTTCTGCCCCAGGGGGCACTCCCCCAGCCTGCCACCTGTTCATCAAGTGTAATGGCTGTTGGAAATACCAAGTTACTGCCTCTTGCCCCTGCTCCAGTGTTTATTGCCTCCAGTCAAAATTGTGCCCCTCAGGTAGACTTTTCCCGAAGGAGGAACTATGTTTGCACCTTTCCAGGCTGCCGGAAAACATACTTCAAAAGTTCCCACCTCAAAGCTCATCTTCGCACTCACACAGGTAAGTACTGAGGCAGGCAGGGCATTGGGAAACTGCCTTCTTTGAGTGGGAGGGAAGCATGAGAACCACTCGAGAAAGTGGAAATGTGGCTTTTTTTCCGTTGGCTCTGAAAAGCCTTCATAGTCTTGTAGGGGTTGGGGTTAACATTGGTACAATTACCAGTGATTTTTGTAGAGCATAGCATCTGCTCACTCTGGTACATAAAACATAGTGTAGTTCTAAGACTGATCTTTTGGTAGCTTTTAGGGTGATGCTCACATTGCCCCTTTCTCTTCACATTGCAGTTAACATCCCGTTCTTTTTTTGCATTTTAGAAAATATGCACTCACGTTCAGTAAACGTCTTATCAGTGTCACTGACTTAGATTTACTCTGGGGAAAGAAAGGTCTCTCCAAAGTATGGAAAAGTTTGAATTCCAGAATATTTGAACTTGAAAGAAATGTAGTTTTCTTACTTTCAGGAAGATACAGTTTTTAATTCAGGAAAAATCACACAAGAAACTAATAACAGTGATCTCTTGATTGTCTTAGCTACTTCCAATAGAATTTTCTGCAATGATGGTAATGTTCTCCATCTGTCCATTAAAGTAGGCACTAGCCACCTGCACTTGACCGAGGAACTGAATTTTATGCTTTCATTAAGTTTACATTTACATTTACATGGGGCTGGCAGCCTCCATGTTGTTTAACAGGTCTGAGGGTTGCCTGGTAGAGTTTCTGCTTTAGTTGATTAGGGCAGAATATCTCAGGTGTTCTGTGGCACTCTCGTTCTTTGAGTTAGTGTTCTGTTTTGTTTTTAAGGGTCCTGTGGTTAAGTGGTCAGCTTGTTAAACTTACTTTTCAGGGTTCACACTAATACATACATATAAGCACGGTAACAGGTTACAGGTTCTGTAGTGAAGATGTGTTTCATAAACTCTCAATCATGAAACCCCTTCCTCCAAAATACCTGCTAATGATCTGTGGGACAACAGTGAAATGTGGAATACAGTGTAGGAAAGGCTGAACCGGAGGGAGTTGTTATTGTACTTTATTCCAAAATGCACTTGAGATAGGGTGGTTTTTGATGCTGTAATCATGGCAGTTCTCGCTTGCAGAATGAACCGAGTCTGGGGTTCAGGCATTACAAAAGGAGTTTTACTGTCTCCCCATTCTCAAGTGGGCTCTTTGCTTCTGGATGAGGCTCTAAACTTGGCCTGGCAAAAACCTGCCTCTCCCTCTACCTTCTGTCTCCAGTCCCACATTTCTACCCATCACCCTCTGTCCTCTACCCATCTCACCTTATGAAAACCCCGTGAGGGCCTTCCCAAAGGCACATTTCACACGTGTTTCCTGATCTCGCCTTCCTTCTTTTACCCTAGTAATAGTTTATTGTGTTTCCTACCACATTTACTTTTCTTTTTTTTAGTTATGTACTTGACTGGTCTCACTGGCTATAAACTCTTGGTGTCTGACACAGAGCCTGACACTAGTCACTGATGCTTGGTCATTGGTGCTGGAGGGTGGCCGTCATGACACCTCTGAGGGGCTCGCTGACTTGGCGAGTTCTACTTTTCACTGAGACTACTGAGGTGAACCTCAGATCACATCCAAACACCAATTCCAAATTGGGGAATGAGGTTTTACTGTTAATCCAGTCTTCTTCCCTTGGTAGGAATATTGGCAGGATGGCATAAGAGAAGGTGATCAAAACAGACTTTTCAGGTTTCCCAAAACAATTCAATTTAACCATAAAGGTTCTGAAGAATCAACTTATGCCATTTTGTCAACACTAAAATGGAATTTGCATAAGAAACAAACTTTGGGTAGGTTTACCTTAGATAAGATAGTTTTCCGTATATTTCTACCAACTTGAAACGTTTTTTAATTAGAATAAGGTGGAATGAGCAAAAGCTACATCTTTGATATGTTGAAAACAGGGCGCTTTATAAATCCCATACCAAAGGGCTATTTATCTCTGTCCAACACCTGGCCATCTTGGAATGCTGCCAACAGTGGTGGTGGTTTCCTGGGAACAGGTGGGTCTCCTTGTGCTTACAACATGGGGTCTTTGAAATCCATGAAGTTTGCCCTTTTTCTTAAAATGGTTCATAAAAGACCATTGTGATGCCGAATTTTCCCATTAGTTCGACTTTGAAAAACATCAGATATTTAGTTGGTGTCTCTTCAACTCTCATTCATTCAAAACCACTTATTTGCTGCCTGCCATATGAAGTGCTGTGCTGGGGCTAAGCTGTACAAAGATGGGTGAACTACACAAGTCATAAACCCTTGGGAAGGTAGGTCTCCTGGCAGTGCTTAACAGTGTTTGACAAATCAGTTCACGAGGTCGCACAGCATGGATGATTGTCACAGCCTGGTCAAGGTAAGAGCTTCAGGATGCAGGAAAGGGAGCCCTCCTGCTCTGTGGAGAAGGGCTACACCGCTACCTGAGGACAAAGGTTCCCTGGCTCACCTCTAGTTGCAGGAAGACACAGTATGGGGCAGCTGCTGGTACTTGGAAACTGAATGAATGACAGACTCTTGGAGCTGGTAACGGTACAGAAAGGTGGCTGTGAGAATGCTAACCCATTTATAACTAACCTCTGTTAGTGTAATAACAAATATGAAGATGGAATTAATGATCCTGAGAAGTCTTTCAGGTCCTAGGAGGGATTTTTTTTTTTTTAGATGTGCTGCTTCCTGAGAGGAAAGGAATTATTCCTTTCAAGAATCTTCCCCCTACCGCAAGCTAACAGTCCACGATAAATTTTTATTTAAAACTGTCTTTTGAAAGATTAGTTTGACATCTTTGGGCCCTGATATATTACATCTTAGGTGTGGGAGGAAGAAATGCATCTGGGAGGATTTCTTGACTTCTGAATAACCCGATACCAGAATAATAGGATTATTCTTTCTTCCTAGATTTTGATGAACAGAATTGAAAAACAACATGAATTAACCTGTCCAATAAGGTGCTGAGCCTTTGCATTTTCTTGAATGTGTTTTCTCACTCTTAGGAGAGAAGCCTTTCAGCTGTAGCTGGGATGGCTGTGATAAGAAATTTGCTCGTTCAGATGAACTGTCTCGCCACCGCAGAACTCACACCGGGGAGAAGAAGTTTGTGTGTCCCGTGTGTGATCGGCGTTTCATGCGCAGCGACCACCTGACGAAGCACGCCCGGCGCCACATGACTACCAAGAAGATCCCTGGCTGGCAGGCCGAGGTTGGCAAACTGAACAGAATTGCCTCAGCAGAGAAGCCCGGGAGCCCTCTGGTGAGCACGCCAGCCTCTGCCTGAAAGGTCAGCGGGGAGTTGCCAATGGGGATTTTCAGAAGCCTTCTTTCGGGGAAGGAACTGATGGTTTCTCTCCAAAAGAAATTGTCTTAGGGACTAGGGGAAAGTGGGGAGCTGGTTCTGATGAAAGCGTGTTAACTTTTCTTTTTTGGTTGAGACCCCTGTTCAATAGCTTTTGTAGTTTCAGAAGTTTTTTAAGGAAATGGAAGAAAATTTGATAGTCTAAATCACCAGCATTCAGACAGTCATTTCGGCAATAACTTTTACAATATCTGGATTTTTTACAACCTTTCTATTCATGTTTTGTAGAAATGAGACGGTACAAATTTTTATACTGTTTTTATAAAAACATTTATAAAATTTCTAGATAGATGATTTTACAAACTTTTTGGTGTTTAACGATGTTTTTATAATAACCCTACTTTTAGTAGCCTTGGCACATTATTCAGCAAAAAAAAAAAAAATCACAAGTTTGTAATCGGGCCTTTTAGATCTAAGAATTCTTTAGAATTTCAACTAGTTGAATAGGGGTCTCTTAAAGAAATGGGGGGAAAAAACTTTGCAGTCAGCTTCTTCATAACATTTTCCAGGGAAATTCCAGGCAACCATTCCTTTAAAGCTATAGCCCAAGGAATTAAAATTTTGGTTAAGTAGAACTAGTCACTTGTGTGCGTGGTGTGACTTGTGGAGGATGTACCCAGAGGATAACCTAAAACCCTCGATAGATACCCTGTGAGCAGGAAGCCGCTGTGCGATCTGAGTGTCTGCTCTGCCAAGAGCAAAGCATTTGCAGTTTCCTGTTTGTACCTCAAACACACACACACACACAAAAAAAAGATAATGTAAGCACTGAAACTCAGCTGCTTTGTCAATTATCAGTTGACTTCTTTTGCTGTGGCCTTATCCGTAGTATTTTGTGGGTTGAGTAACTTCCTAGAGAAAAAGGAAATAACCCTCATTGGTTGGAGGAACTTTCCACCAAAGTATAGCTTATCTGAGGCAAAGTGTACATGCATATGATCCAGCTCCAGTGTTCTGATTCCTTTATTTATTTAAAGTACTAAGAACTATAGGAAATGCAAGTTATGCTAAATGATAGTAATACTACCCAGCTGCCCTTTCATTCATGTTATTTGAAAGAAATTGTTTAGGTCAAATAGAAGATTACTTGGAATGGGGGTGTTTTGCAGTCTGCCTAGAAACTAGACGGTGGGCACCACTTTGAAGCTGTGAGAGCACAGGCCCCAGCTATAGAGATGACGCCCCACCCTACCCCCGCCCCGTATCCAGGAAGCCGCGGAGGGAGATGGCTTAGGTGGTGCTGGGAGTCCAGGCAACAGAAAGCATGTAATGTACACAGGGTGCTGCACTGCTGAGCCTGGGAATGGCTTTTATTGTGCTGTGTTTCGATTTTGTCTTTGCCTCTTAGTTACTGGCATTTACCTGTGTTAAAATGATGGTAAGATTAAATATTGAGTAAATATTATTAGGTTCTATGTTCAGGTCTTTCTAGTCTGATGACCCTCACCTGGTCATTCATTGTACGTTAGTTGATACCCATTAAGTTGCCCTTTAGTATCAACTGCTTATTGACATACAGGTCTGTAAGTGCTGGCTGTATGTTTAGGAGATTTTCACATTTTTGGACACTTCCTTAGTTGAGTATTTGTACTGGTCATGAGATATAATACAGTTGCAAGAGAACCATAATTAAATGTATATAGCCCACCACCCACTCCTTTTTCTCTCCCACTCATATCTTAAATCAGCATAAACATTTCTGACGATGTGCATGCCATAAATGGCATGAAATTTGGATATTTTCCTTCAGTATACAAAATAATGTTAGCCCTACTAATGTTCTGGTGGAATACAAGGTCTTGGAGTATCTGGTTGCTTGTCACCTTGAACTTTATTCTCTGAGCAGCGTTGTCTCTGAATAATAGATGTGTTAAAAATGGTTATGCTTCCATTCCCTGTTAGATTTAGAAATACCTTCTATAAACTTTTTTTTTTTTGCCTTCTGTTTGTCGATTGAAAGACTGTAAATTGGGCAACAGTTTTCGTCTGGAAAATACTGACCTGAGAACCAGAACCATGTGGTGGTGGTTTGACCCTCCGCTGGCGGCTCGGGTGTCAGAGCCCAGCGCATGGCAGGTCCCCCAGTGCACTTTATTTCCTGAGCAGTTTTGCTTGATCTTTGTTGACGTTGAGCCTTTTAAGTAGTTTCAGTAATAAAATTTGAAATGTTTTGGGATTATGTTTTATGTAACAGACTTCGACTTATTATTTAAGTGACTATGTGATGTAATGTTTTTCTTTGAATCATAAAAACTTTTTTGAGTTGCAACCTGGACTTGTGTCCTGTGCCGTTTAACTGCACTACAGTGTACCCAGCCACTTTTCAGAAAACAGTCTATGAAATTCCTTGTGTAGTGGCCCAGCCTAACCCGCCTCCTCTTTGTTTTCTGGGGTTCTGTCCTGCTCTCAGGGCACACTACAGATCCTTGGAGAGTGCTCCCTGAAAGAAATGTGTGAAGAGACTGCTTCTCTGTTGGCCACTCTGACGTTGGGTCTGGTCCTGGCAGAATAGGGCTGTGGGTGCTGGAGTAACCCCATGTCCCTTGTCCTTGAGCTCTGCCTGTGCCAGGAGGTGGACTGGGGGGAAGCCTCTCTCCCCCCCCCATCCCTCCACCCCCAGCTCAGGCTTCAAAAGGATGTCACCGAGCCACAGTCTTCACTCGTGCTCTTGGGGTGCATTCTGTCTGGAACCCACTCTGGCTGGGACTTCGCATCCCCACCCTGTTAAAGGAGCTGTGTGGATGTCGCCAGAGACTTGTGGGTTCAGTTTTTAGTCATCGTAGTTGTCTGGGCAGTTGGTTGTCCCCCTGCAGGCCACACTCCCATGCTTTCCTCCTACCTCACTGCTCCTTTGCTGGACCCCTCGTCCCCCTGACCCTTTTTCTGCTCCCCTTCACAACCTTGGTAATCTTTTCCAGCCCCGTGACCTAGAGAAAAATTGTATCTCTACCACAAAGAAAGACTCCCAAATGTATATCTCTCCTTTGTACATCTTCCCTGAGCTTCAAATTCCTACATAACAACTGTCTGCTTGAGATCTGTCCTGTCAGCATCTCAGCCTTAAAATGACCAAGCCCCTCATCCTCTCCCCACACTTGCTGTTCTCACAGTTGACCCCATTGTCTTTAAAAGGAACAGCGAGCTCATCCTTCTAGCTGCTCAGGTGCAAAACCTTCAAGTCACCCTGGACTCCCTTCTCACTCCACATCCAGTCTGTCAGCCAGCTGAGGTGTGATGGTGGGAAAGCTGTGTAGATGTGTTTCGTAGGCACGTTGGTCCTGGTCATGCATGTGCGTGTAGGCGTGTTGGGGAGGGGGCAGTAAAGGATCACAGTGGGCTTTGCACTTAGCAGTCCCGCTAGAAAAGTCTCTCCAACTCCAAACCCCATTGCTTCAAGGTGGTGGCCACAAGCTTATTAGTCTCAGCTTTGTGACTTTGTGCCTGCTGTCTTCCCTCTGTTGTCACCAGGTTCTACTTTCCAGCTGTAACATCCACTGTACCTTTGCTTTCAACCTGCCTCTTTGTTTAGGGACTTTCATAATGAGGAACTCCAGACATTTTCTTAACAGCTGGGCCCCATCCTGGGAGGAAACCCAGGCACCAAGGACTACCTACCCCAGAGGGGTGAGACACTCAGTCACCTAAGTTAGGGAAGCTCTCTTCAAAGGTCTCTTGCCATTCCCTCTGAAGAAGCCTCATGGGTCCCAGGATTGCTCTGAGCTGGCTCAGCAGTTAAGCTTCCTCCCCCGAGCATGGTCTTTCTGAGCTCAGCATACAAACTGGCCAGCAAACCAAGATGATAAGAGACAAGATGCCACAGCCAAGTGCTGGGGAGGAGATGTACGTGCATGAGATGACAGTACAACGTAATGGCAGCTGAGTGCCGGGCTTCCTCCTCAGCTCTCCCGACCTGGCTCTGGTGGCGGCCTCTGGGGTCCTTCAACACTACAGGTTCTGACCACTGGTAAAGCCCTGGGATCTTGGCTTTGGCGGGGGCACTTGAAGCCATTGAGTTCACTCATAAAGCCTGTGATCAGCCTCAAGGGGGCTCAACTGAGCATCAGCACCCACAGGTGACACAGAATTCATGAAACACCTCTATGGGAACCTCTGAAACATTTATTTAGAGACCATCAGAAAAGTGCAGAATTCTGCTAGCAAATGGGGTGGGGCTTGAAGCCAGGGCTCCTCGTGTGTAATCTCAAGCCCCAGACCCAGCTGGCTTCTTGTGGCACAGACCAGCTCCACCTACACCAAGGGGCCCCACAGGGTCCCCCTTCCACATAACCAGGCCCCCACTTCTCACTTACATGGGCTTTGCCGTGATAGAGCACCCCGCTGGCCATCTGTCGTTCAAGCCTCCCAGTTATCGTGGGGAGTAGGAAGAACAGGCACTATTTGCCCACTGAGCATTCAGGGAGCTGAGATCCTGAGATCACACACTGGAGCCTGGGCCTCCTAGCATCTCCCCCACCCCCACTCCTGCTGCACAGGAAGGGAGCCTGGCTACTTCCAAGGATGGGTGAGCAGCGTGGCCTGCAGGAATCCTGGGGGAACGCAGGCAGAAGTATTTGCCTCTCATCTGTGCTTCCACTGCATTTGGCTCATTCCTGTGGCATCTTTATTTTTTACCTCCAGGGCCCACCTAGCACAGAGCCTGGCATGGAGCGAGCCTCTTCAAGTAGTTGTATACATTTTTTTTAAAGAAAGGAAAAAAAGAACGTTTCTGTAACCTGTTCTTCACTAATGTAAGGTGCTACCAAGGTCGTATTATTTTTATTTTTCACTCAAATCTTTTTCTGCCAGATTAGTAGGAAAGTCAGCCCCTCCCTCTGCAGTTTCTCCCCTTCCTACAAATTGTTCTAAACCTCTTGGGTCTGAGTTAGCCCAAGACACTCCCCAGGGAGAAAGCAGGAAGTCCAAGCTGACACCACTGCTGTGATTCTTGCTGCTACGTAGAGTCCTTGTTGACAACTGGCCACAGACCCCTGACCTTGGTGAAGGCCTACATCTTAGAAAGACCGCCCTGTGCCCTACGTGCTCTTTTGGTCTCTGTCTCGTGTAGCCATACCCCCAAGCACCACCTCCTCCACAGTGTCCATCAGATGTTATCCATCTTTCTAGGACTTCAAATAAGTGTCCCCTTTCCTTCCCAGAGTCCACAGCTCACAGAAAAGGCAGCTTTTCCTTTTCCAACTCTAGAAATTAAAGGCTTTCATCACACCAGAAAATGGAGCCCTGCCCATCTGTTCAGATCTGATTTGTTCCTAGGGGATCCAGCTGTCATCACACCAATGGTCTGATTTTATGTTGCCTCCTTCCTAAAGGAGGGCACTGACCTTCAGAGCCTCACCTCTGATTTATCCTCTTGACGGCAGCTGAGGCTTTTCTTCTGCCTCATGACAGCCAGAACAGAAAAGAACCCCTCACAGATTAGATCTTCGATGGGGCTTTGGCTACAGTCTTTGACAGCCTTTACCTTCTCCAGGTGGATACATGTCTACAGGTGCGCCTGCGCCACAAGACACAGCACGTCCTCACTGGCGGGGACCAGATCGTCATGCTATGCACAAGCCCTGGCACCCTGCTAGATGTGAGCCTGGCAGCAGGGTCTCAGGAGGTGTGACGAGGGTGACACTGAACATACAGTAGGGGCGTCCACCATGCTGTCTCGGCACAGCCAGGACCGGCAGCCTTGGGAAGGACTGTCTTAGAAAAGCTCCTGTCGCAATGAGGAGCAGGGAGCCTAAGCTGGGCCCGAGGAGGCTTGAGCACACATGTGACTGAACAGCGTAGCTCTGTTCCTTCCCCAAGAAAACAGACAAGCATTTCTCAGAGCCGGGAATGGGGCGTGTTGTCTAAATTCCTGGTGCTTTGTAGCATCTCAGAGGCACTTGCACAGCACAGAAACCAGGAGACACTAGTGTGGTGCTTAGCCTTCTCCATACATTAACATGGGCCATCATCACTTTGTGGACTTGGAGACGTTTCCTTCCTGCCTCTATTTCAGCCACAGTCCTCCCTGTCCTGGTGCAGATCCTACACTCGGCTCCAGAGCAGAAGGCTCAGGCTCAGAAGCAACACCAAGCTACCAAGAGAAGGCCCGAGGCAGCACATGGCCCATGGTTTGTGCAAGCAGGGCTCCACTGGGCCCATCGCCGCCCTTCCAGGACCAGCGCCCTCCCTGGTGCACACTCAGTCCGCTCCCCATCTCACCAGTGGGACGATGGGCAGTGCTTCTAGCAGGTGTACACAGCTTTATCTGGCTAGCCGCTGATCAGAAGACACTTTCTGAATTCAGGGAAAAAAACAAAAAGAAGGCCCGAAAACAACTGCTGTGACTTCTTAGCTTTGATGAAATGTATTTACTTTGACACTGACACAGACTGTAACTACATGAAGGATTTTTTTTCTTAGCACTTTTACCTCATTGAGAGTTTTATGAGGTTTCCACTGGAAAAAGCAGAGTTATCATCTTGGAAACCAGCTGAACGTGTTCCATTTTAACAAAATGATGATGCGAAACTGTAAACATTTTATATCATTAAATTCAAGGCCTGATCCGTCTTGTGAGAAATACAATTTTAACTTCTTTTAAAAGAAGCATCTGTATTACTAAAATAGTAATGTCTTTTATTGTTATATCCAAAGAAGTGGTTTGGGCTTAGAAGAGGAGTAGCTCTCACTTTGGGGAGGTTCTGAGCCAGCGCTTACGGGCTCTGTCATGCCATCCTCTGACTTCGCAGAAAAAAAATCTCACGGCTATGGAACATCTGATTAAAGGCTCTCTTGTCAAATGATGGAAGTTCATGGAAATGCCCATTTGCCCATGATGGCATCAGGCCTGAGGGTCTGGGGACACTGCCAAGTGGCCATTTGTCGGTCTCCAAGATGCTCTTGCATTTTGCAGGTGATGCCAGGGAGGCTGCTATGTTGGTGGTAAATTTGGGATGAGCTGGGACCTATTCTGGCTTGGGCAAAAGCTGCTGTTGCCTCCAAGTGCCCCTTTGTGCCGACGCCCTCACCAGCTGCTCAGGGGCCTGCCTCCTGGCCACCCTGCACTTCCTGAGGGCAGACACACCTGGGCCCATGGCAGAAGTCCCGCCTTCTAGTCAAGCTGTGGTTCTCCTGGTCCTGTGGGATGTCCTTGTGGGCTTTCTTATTTGTTAG